CAGAGAGGGAGAAGAGTATATATATATATATATATTTCTGGGCTGTTTTTTGGCCCGCCCGGTTTGCCCGGGCCCCGCCCGGCCGGGCGGCGTCCGTACTCAGGTAAAAAACGACTAATCCTTTTTGTCATTATTAGTACTTGTTATTAGTATCCCCTCGCAATGTCCTCACCCTACCCCCTTGAAAAAAGGACAACAAACGAGGGTCTCACTCCACTACTTCACCAAATGCACAAAAGATAACATGAAGGTGGTGTATCTCTCTGTTTTTTTTTTTTTTTTTAATATTCAATGTGTCTTGCAGACATAGACCTGATTGTAGTTCGCAGGAAACACATTTTTCGAGAGCAGCACGCACAGCTCATGTCTAAGTTCCGAGATTTGTGAAAGGGCCCTTCCAACTTGGGTAACAGCCGTTTGTGTCCTTGAATGCATACACGAAATGATTCAAGTCCTATACAGTTGTGCTGATCTGACAGCAGTTCTTTTTTCCTTTTCTTTTTTTTTTTGTTCATAATAGTAAATCTCTGTCCCGAGATCTGCACGCCCTTCGAACTTGTGTAAAGGCCACTTGTGGCCGTGAATGAATACAAGAAAAGATTTAGGTCCAATACAGTCATGCTGACAGGTTGTGCTGTTTTGGAAAACTCTACTTCCCGTGAACTTCGATAAGAGCTCCGTGTCTCCTTGAATGAATACAAGCCACAGTTCCGGTCAGGTGTGTCAGAAGTATCCACTGTGTACAGCACGATGCACACTTATAATGACTGTATCGGACTTAGAAGATCACTTGTATGCAATCCGCCGTGCGTGAGATAAAACAACACAAACACATACTGTGTTTTCTTGGCACGGTCTGGGCCTGTCCGTTAGGGCCTTAGAGACCTGAAAAATCCCAGACCTTTAGGGCCACCACCACTGGTCTTGCTGCCAATGTCAGGGGAATTTGTTCCTCAGTTTGGTATAGCTCAACCCAGTGGATTATGTGCATGCCCATCTTAGACCCTCGTCCAGTCTTCTACTCCAGTGTCTGCAGCTATAGTGCAGGCACAAGTCTCACTTCCTACAGGGCGTGCAGGACCGTCACAACCTTCATCCTTCGTAAGGACATCCATGGTGCAGCCCTCTGTGTTTACAGGTGACAAGAGAGAGGAGAACCTGGACACATAGCTCAGGCATGTGCCAGTGTTTGTAAGGACGACGAACACCCATGCAGATAAGGAAGTTATAATGGCAGCATCCTTTTTGCAGGGCTCTGCTGCAAGATGGTCTGATCACGGAGGCAGGTTATGGACGTGACATGACGACATGGGAAACCAATGTCATATTATATCAGTGCATGACCCTTGTAGGGGCAATATGACACAATAGGTAGCAAACCCAAAGGGCTACTGACAAGCTCAAGAATCTTGACACTCAAAAGTATAGGGATGTCAGAAGTGTCACTGAAAAGGTAGAAAAAACTGATCATGGTGGCTGGAGTGCGGTATGATATGGAAATCCTACTTATGAGCTATCTTAGATGTCTTCCGGACCATATCAAGGGTCTGCTGGTCAATGATGCCACTTCCACTAGAAATAAAATGGCCTTGAGGAATGCTAGCGTGGTGTGCAAGGAGGTTCGGTGGGGGTGAAGAAGAGACTGCCCGAGGACTGGAAGAAAAAGGGTCACCTTCTCTGGTAATCAGGAGGTAGGCATTTTTTTTGTCCTGAAGGATGAAACACGGCAAGGTAGGGAGGAGTTGCCAATGTGTGGCAGGCTAAGGAAGATGGCCCTTCTTAAGGGTCAAAGAAAGGTCAAGAAGAGGACAAGTCTTCCAGAGTTTCACCATGGGTAAGGGAGGGACTTGAAAAAGGTGTTTGGGAAGACCGGTGTTGGGTTGGGAAGTGCATGAAGTGCGGTCAGTTAGGCCACATCAGGAGGCGCTATCCCAAAGGAGAGCTGGGAAAGTGAATGAGCCAGTAGAAGTTAAAGTCGCTTCTACAAAGTCTGTAGAGGTAGGCGATATAGTCCCAACCTGGCTAGACACTCCCTCAACCTCTCAAAATATTATGGCTATGGCTACTGACCTTTCCCTTACCCCTCAATCACAGTCCGACCAAGAGTTGCTCTGTTCTCGCGATGTAACAGATTCCTCGGATTCCTCAAAGGTTGGATTAGGCTTAGTACTTCACCTTACGGTGCACAAGTTCTTTTCGTGCCAAAGAAGGGGAGTGCATTAAGGATGTGCATTCACTATAGGGGCCTCAATGCCATCACTATGTGTAATGCAGAGCCACTACCCCGCATCACTGACCGCTTGGATAGTCTAGGGATGTAGGTACTTCAGCAAGATACATATGAAGTTTGGGTACCATTAGATACAAATATGACGCAAGGATCAACACAAAACTTCATTTCATATGAGGTATGAGTTTGTGGTGATGCCGTTTGGGCTTCATAATGCGCCTGGTACCTTCCAGCACGCTATGAATAAGATATTTTATGTCTACTTAGACAAGTTCAAAGCATACATGCCAGCGCACGTCCTGCGCTGATTTGCAGACCGTTGGCGCTCAAGCGCACCCCAACGGAGCGGCGCACGACCTGCACGGCACACGAACGCCCAGGCCAAAACTCAAAAAAAAGAAAAGCCGGGATGTCGATTCATCGCTGGTTCGACCCCCCAGCAAAAATGGACTTGGGGCCCAAAACGTTTTTTAGCGGGTCATGCTCAAGCGCGG